CTGGGTAGCGAGGGAAGAAAACCATTTAAGGTAGCAAAATGGGGCAGTGGAAGGGTATTGCAGCTTGTAGATAATGCCGTCGCATTGGTGATAATGTATATGTGATGCCCTTGTTTAGAAACCAAGAATGGTAGTCAGGAATTGTAGTTGCGTAAGGAGCTCGGGTGGCTCAGAGGTTAAGCATTCAACTTCGAGGCCAAAGCTTAGTCTTGGAAACCCGAAAGGGCAGTTCTCTGTCCTGCAGAATTACCAGGAGTTGGGACCCACCAGACAGCACCCAACAACAGTTTGAGCACACGCTTCACACAGGCTAACCTTAAAACCTCCTGTTGGTCTGACATGGACTCAGATAAGCTGGGCTGCTGACACCATAGCTAAGCAGCCACTCTGTGTACTCAGCGCTAACATGTATTTAAAAGTGTGGGGCTCTGATGGCATTTTGAAGTTTTAAGAGTAAGAAGCCATCATTTATAAATCATGTCTGAACTGGCACACCCATGGTCAGCGCTGCTAATAATGTACACACACGTCTACTCTCACGAGGTCTTTCATAAGCCTTTAGAGGAAAATTTCTGATGAGATCAGAAGCACAAAGGATTTGCTCAATCATTTGCTCTTCGTCCATTCACTCAGTGGCCAGATGTAGTGCCCGGGAATTGTGTCCGGGCCTGCTAACACAATTTATAGCAGGACCCAGGCTCTCTCCCCATTGTTCCGAACCACAGCCATTTTTTGCTTCCTGCTGCATAATAATGCTTGTCTCAGGTTTCAGAAGACAGGTTTGGCAGCCTGGTGGGACATTGCATGAGCCCTTGTCTCAAGCTGGGTAAAGTATACAATTGGAGCTGAAATCGCAACATAAATTTTCAGTGATTTCATGGACAAGAACAAACTTCACTGTTGGCAAACTTTTACCACCATCCCAGCAGCCGTGATTTTATTTGTAGAACCGTCAGTGATCTGCTGCCAGGTAGCCTGCCCCGTTTATTAGTTGGCACAAAAGTAACATAAATTAATTGGCCGTGTGTAGTGCATAGTCAACACAAACTTGATGAGATTCAGTATGGCTATTGTTTCCCAGCCCAGCCAAGTCTTGGTACATTTCCTAGAGAGTTCATCATAGATCTAACATTTATCATTGAAAATTTGATAGCATTCTGTACACCACTGGCCATTCTGTGCATTCACAGCACCTACAGTGAATCCAACTGTGCATGAGGTGTGCATCTCTCTGATAGAATCTTGTATTTGAGTATTTCTTTTTAATAGTTTGGATGGTAGGTTACTCGAAATCACCCTCGAGGTAATTAGTTTACGAGGAAAAAGAGAAATACTGAGTTACAGTGTCAACTCTAAGTCAGAATGGCACTGAATGCCACACCTTCACTGGGCGGCCTTGGGCATGGCACAGGCATGCCCGATTTTATCCCAGTTCCCTGTGCCGCTCTCTGCAGACAGTAGTGAAGGGAAGGTTGGAGCAAACCTGCACTGAGCAAGTCTGTTGGCTCCGCCGCCATTTTCCCAGGAGCCGGGGCCCAGTTTTTGTCTCTTGGTCACATTTTAGTCATTCTCACAACATTTCAAGTTTTTTTCATCGTGCTGTTACACACTTAATAGACTACAGCCTGCTAAATTAACTGTGCACTGGGCAAACCTACACATTGTGACATGCTTTATTGCCATATCCGCCTTATTGTCCTGATCTGGAATGGAACCCACATTATCTCCCAGGTTTGCATCATATTCTCCAGAAAAAATGCTTGGGAAGCGACTGGCCGCTCTGAGGATATTGCTTTTGAAATACTTGACCTGATTATTTTCCTAATTTAAACTGGTGAAGTTAATGTGTTTATCTCTGTACTGGTTGCTACCAAATGATTGATTACGGATACTAGAATGTTGCTTTTCCTTTTGTCCAATGTCAACGAAGGCACCATTGGCTACAACCAGCGGAACAGGATCGATACCCTCATGTATCTATTAGCCTACCCTCAGAAACCCATGGTTAAGACCAAAACCATTGAGCTGATAGAATTTGAGAAGCTGCCAGCCGGACAGAATGCCACGGTTGCGGTGATGAGTTACAGTGGCTATGACATTGAAGACGCTCTTGTGCTAAACAAGGCCTCCTTGGACAGAGGTAAGTGAATCGCAGGTAAAGGAGCCTCAGGAGTGCTACTGGGTAAGCCTTTGGTTTAAACCCACCAGACGCTCATTGGGAGAATGACGAGGCTATCTGCTCATATACAGTTGTGCCGCCTGAGTCTGACTGAAGCAACTCGATGGCCGGGGACCGGGAAGGCGGGGAGGAGGAGTACCACTCAAGGTGCCTTGTGAAGAATTTAAGATCTATGGATGATTAATGTAAAAAATCACTTGGTATCAAAACACTAGTGCTAGTTTGAAGTGATTGGAATTTTATAATATACACACAAGAAAGGGTTATTTTTTTTATAATTCATCTTTTACCAAAATGTATATTATATATTTTAGAAAGGAGAGGTTTTTCTTTTATTTTTTCCTGCCCCCTTTGATTATTTACTGCGGACTTAAAACACTTCCTCAAAAGAAGGGGTGG